CAGTAGCTAGAAATATATAACTGAATGAAATGTCTACAAATCATGTATTATATAGTGAGTCGAGAGAACGGAGATCCATAGACACTAAAGAAGCAAATGGCAAAAAGAACAAGTGTGAGCTGAATGCCTACCTTGTGAAATGTCCACTAGAAAATGTCCACTCTTCCTTTGGACTGAACAGTTCTGGACTGGAATTCTCTGCCACATATATGTGAACATAGACAAATGTGGACATAGACACATCACTTAACCTCTTTGTACCTTGGTTTCCTATTAATAGAAATGCTAATATCAAAGACCATATAACATGTCCATTGGTATACTGGCAGATATAATTAAAGACCCATGAAATCAATAGTACATGTTTTAAAAGATAATGTTTGCAGTGTAGAGAGTGAAAAGAACATTTGCTACCAGAATGATGAAAAGAGTAGAGGTGTGATGCAAATTGAAAGAACAAGACTGTAGCTGGTGTGGACTGGCATCCCTAGGAAAGATTTCACGAAGACCAGGAGTATAAGTTGGACCTTTAGGTCATTCTGCTGGAGTTAGGAGGCCTGGAATCTTCCTTCTTCCTTCTTATTGTTTGATAATGCTTTTTCAGTGAGTAAATAATAATAATAATAAATATAAAGAGTACATGTTTAATGAATAATCAAGTACTGACAATCCATTTCTCAAGATAATTGTTGACAGACTAACTGATGAATGTCTGTTCACATTTCCTGCCTACCACTGGGACCATGATCACATCACTGATACATGTAAACTTAAGTTACAAACCTGCTGAAGAGCCTTCAGCTGTCAATAGTTACTTTTAGCAGACTATTTCTGGAAACATGATGTTAATTTACACAGCCCGAAAGATGTGTTTACAAATCTCTCTGTGCAGCATGACTTTTCTTTTAGATCAAATGACTGTTCTTCCACATTTATCTCATCTTCCATTCCAAGGTTTAATTATGCATGTATGAAAAAGGGCAAGGTAGGTATTAATGTGTTGACTTCAATTGCATCAATATATTAAAAACCTTGTGAAGAGTCAAATGATACCAGTCTTATTAGCATGCCATCAAATGATTCAAACAGAATATCAAATAAGTTAATTCTGAAATTGTTGTACTCATACAATGCCTCAATCAATGAGGCATGATCATTGCTAATTGAAAACTTTTCCAGTATGCCGCCATGATGACTTGAAATTATGATTTTTTTTCATCCACTATATGGAATCAAAATAAAGCTTTTGCAAGTTAACTTAACAATGAAATCTCTGACATCAGGAATGCTATTGTAAATTTAGTTTAAACATTTAGCATTGAGGGTTATTTAATTTTGTAGATAATGTGGATGCAGATTTTGATGAAGCACAGCATCATGGCTAATAAGATATTCGTATAAATTGAAGGGATCTTTGAAGCAGAAATGTACAATTGATAGATCATGGTGCCCTGATTATCCATGATCACATACAGACAAGTGATAATGCACCACCAATTGAATTAGAAGCTGTAGTGTCCACACTTATAAATATTTTATGTATACAGAGTTGGGATAGCAACAGCAGTTTTCGTGGCAGAGATATGTTCAGATATAAAAATACACTTTCAGCATGGCAGTGTGCACTTTGTTTTTGCTGCCAGTCGTCCATCCATCAATCTGATTTTAAGAATGTTTGAAACCTTTGAAGAACTCTCAGTCAACTTAAACATTCCCCAAAGCTATTGAACTCTTGTGAAAAAAAGAAATCTTTTAAATGTTTGTTGCATTTTGGTCATTATCAGTTGGAATTTTTTTTTTTTTTTGCGGTACACGGGCCTCTCACTGCCGTGGCCTCTCCCGTTGTGGAGCACAGGCTCCGGACGCGCAGGCTTAGCGGCCGTGGCTCACGGGCCCAGCCGCTCTGTGGCATGCGGGATCTTTCCGGACCGGGGCACGAACCCGCGTCCCCTGCATCGGCAGGTGGACTCTCAACCACTGCGCCACCAGCGAAGCCCATTTGGAATATTTTTTTTTTTTTTTTTTTTTTTTCCTTGCGTTATGCGGGCCTCTCACTGTTGTGGCCTCTCCCATTTGCGGAGCACAGGCTCCGGACGCGCAGGCTCAGCGGCCATGGCTCACGGGCCCAGCCGCTCCGCGGCACGTGGGATCTTCCCGAAACGGGGCACGAACCCGCGCCTCCTGCATCGGCAGGCGGACTCTCAAGCACTGCGCCACCAGGGAAGCCCCATTTGGAATATTTTTAATCAAAATTTTTGATGACTGAAAATGCTAAGTAACTTCATCTTTGGAAGCCTTTAGTAAATGGAAGTGAATTTTACAAGAACTGGCATAAAAGGTATCGAATTTTTTTTTTCTTTACAACAGAAAGGGATATTCAGCACAAAGCAAACTGTGAGGTCAAATAGTTGACCTATTTGTGCACGATTCAGTGTTTAAGTTCTGAAGTTACACTTTGGATTATCTCAATTTGTAGGATAAAAAAAATCTTTTGATTTTTAATAGGATAAATAAAAATTCTACCCAGGAATGGAAGGAAATTGAGAAGCCATTAATTTTTCAGCATAAATTTTGTGGAGAATCATAGAGGCAACTTATTTAAAGTTTTATCTTGAAAAGAGATTGACAGAGAAAGTTGATATGAATGGATACAAGATATCATGCCTTTGAAATTATTTGGGCAGAAATATATACAGATTTCAATATTTAAAATATAGAATTGAGAATATTCTTCATGTATCACATTTTTGTTGTGAGTTTTCAAGGTACCTCAGTGCCTGGAGAAAGAGTATTTTTGTAATTAAAATTATGGCCTACAGTAGAGTCAATTAAAAGTGTCAATTTAATGACCATTAAGTGCAATTCTGAAGATAAGAACAATTTTATGAAATATTATAAGTGAAAAGATGACATTAAAGAAGTACATTTTTTGGAAAAGTAATCTTAACACGGGACTATAAACGGATATAACTAGGAAACCAATTAAATATATGAATATATAGCATGAATAATCATTCTTCATGTATCATTTTAAAATTCAGATAAGATAAGCACATCTCTTTTGTTCTAAAGCGTGTAAAATATATTTTTTTATTTTGAAACAATGTCATTATGAAAATTAAATGAAATAACTTTATAGATCTACTAGTAAACCAAGTTGTCAGTTGATAAATATTTCAAAAATTTATAATTCTGATGACTTTCACTCTTAAAAGTGTACAGATACGGTTCATAAATTATGCTGGTACCCTAGATACAGTGGAATTCTTTAGCCTAGTTTTTAAATATTGAATATTCAAACTAAAACATCAAATTCATTAAAAAGTAAAAGAACATTGTGAGAATCATTTATTATTTTGGTGTACTAACTCAGGCTTTTCTTCACAACCAGAACCTCCACATTTGGCTCTTCCATAGGGGGAAAAAAAATCAGTCAACTAAAATAGGAAATTTTTATGAAATTGAGCCACATGGAAATTTGAGTCATTTTCCAAGAAATTGTTTTGACCTAAACTCTACACTGTTGAGAAGAGGAAGCCACTTTTGCCCTTTGGGTCAAATTCCCTGGTGCTTTCAAATCCTCCTTTATAAACATGAATGCTTCTGTGGCAGACAGAGATGGGTTTTCACCATTGTGCCCATTAACAGATGTTGGTGGATTGCTGAAGATGAATTAAGTCACTCTGACAGTCTATCCAATTTTTGATGCAAACGACTTGAAGAATTAGAGTCAGTAAGAGAATAAGGGAAAGAAGAAATTTAAAATTAGAGTGAAAAAGTAAAAATGTCTTGTGAGTTTGACTTTGCAAGAGGAAGCAATGAGTATGACCTCTCCTTCTGTACAGAATGGTGGCATAAATGGGTACAGAACAGATGGTAAGAAGTTATTCAAACCAGCCCAGCACCCTTACTCAAAAGGGGGTAACAATGGTACATTCTAATCTCAGCCCCTCTCTTTGCTCTGTTTCTGCCAGTAGCTCCATAAACAAGGGCAGATGCAAGAAGGGAAATTTGTGCTCTTTGACATTCAGCCATACTGGTGCTTTTAAAAGTCACTGCAATCAGTATGGGGTGGTGTGTTTTCCTTCTTCCATACATGGGTCCAGTTTGATGGGACAGAGAATACAAGATAAGAATGAATTTTTTTTCTTTTGCTGCAAAGAAGATTATTATAGAAATGGTCTCTTAAATTTAGAAGATATTTGCTCAATAATTTAGTACAGTTCTAACCCAAGTAAAATTTTAGGTAGAAAAAAAAAGTTTTGTTAGATTTATTTGAGGTTTTAGGTACTATATGTTAGATGTGACAGCTACAGTGACCCAGCTAGGCCTGAGCTAAGAAGACACTAACTAAATCCCAGTTACAGTAGAGTTCATAAGGGAGCTAGGATATGTTATCAGAATATAAGAAATAGCATGAAAATGCCACTCTTCAGGGAATCATCTTTTCTCCAATATGGGAGTAATTTCTAAATTATTTTTATAAACATTAGCTACCTAACATGGTAAAACACATTTTAGGTTTTCTATAAGCGAAGTAAGGGTAATATTCTTAGAAAGCTGAATTCCATATACAAAATCTGGATATCCAACATGCCTTATTGTTACCTGCTGGAAACCTTTCTGAAGGACTAATGAGAGAAGGGTAAGTAAGCTAACCTTGTGAAGACAGAAGAAATCAGGGTCAGCCAATGGAAAGGATTGCAGAATTCTCTGAGAGAAGCAGCAACTCCACAGGGAAATGAAGTTCTTTTGTCTGTGGGGCTCCCCTTCATCAGCTCGTGATATTGAGGTAGCGACATGCTAGCGCACTGCAAGTGGTCACATCTCACGAGTAGGTAGGGATCTGGGGGAGTCAATAAATAAGTTGTGAAAAACGTAAATTTATCTTCTGAAGTCACTCTGTTGATAATAACCATGCTATGATAATATGGCATAATAATTTCTATAGCAGACCAATAAAAATGAAGTAACTGAGTTAAATCTTTTATGTTTCTTAGGAATCTGAGAAAAAGGGCTTAATTGAAAGAATCTATATGGTACAGGATATTGTCTCAACTGTTCAAAACATCTTGGAGGAGATAGCTTCTTTTGGAGAAAGAATTAAAAAGTAAGTTCTATATTTGTGTTGTTGTGAAGTGAAACTGCCATCCACTAGGACAAAAGAGGGTGGGGAGTCTTAGGGAGGATAGGATCAGAAAATGCAAAAACAAAGAAAAAAACAAAAGCCAACAGTTTGGGCCTTTTAACTTTGATTGGTGTGTTCTTTGGGCTTGTCAATTTCACAGGGTGGCTGTATGGCCCAATTTACACCAGTTGTCCCAGCATAATTATTAATAGTGTCTCTATTCATTCTCAAAAATATTCTGGTTTAAGTGATAAGCTATAGATTAAAAAATAGATTGTCCTGGGCTTCCCTGGTGGCGCAGTGGTTGAGAGTCCGCCTGCCGATGCAGGGGACGCGGGTTCATGCCCCGGTCTGGGAGGATCCCACATGCTGCGGAGTGGCTGGGCCCGTGAGCCATGGCTGCTGAGCCTGCACGTCCGGAGCCCATGCTCCGCAACGGGAGAGGCCACAACAGTGAGAGGCCCGCGTAACGCAAAAAGCCCGCGTAACGCAAAAAAAAAAAAAAAAAAAAAAATAGATTGTCCTATACAGAAATAAAAAAGGAAGCAAATATGCTTTAAAGGAGCCTTTTTCATCTGAATCACAGAATACAGTAAGTGCCTTGAGTGAAATTTTTTTCTCTGTTCTCCAAAGAATGGTACCTAACTAGTAACGTTGCAGATGCAAAGATGTAAAGTTACTTCATCACATACATGGACAGCTTAGGACAGGGGTCAACAAACTTTCTCCATAAAGGACCCAAGAGTAAATGTTTTCAGCTTTGGACTATATGGCTTGTGTCACAGCTACTCAGCTCCCTTGTTTAAGTGTAAAAGCAGATAGTTGATATGTAAATGAATGGATGTGATATGTATTCCAATAAACCTTTATTTACAGAAACAGATGTCAGGCTAGATTTGACTCAGCTCCAACCCATAGCTTGCCATCCACCTACATTAGGGCATAAAGGCTAAATTCTCTAATGGAGTCTCAATTGAGAAAAACTCTGTGATTCATGTTTTTATTTTTTTATTTATTTTGTTTTATACATTGTGAACTCTGCGTAAGTTGATCTTCATTTGATACCAATGAACAGAGCAGGTTTTTTCTTTCTTTTGAATTGTAGATGTTTGTTCCCCCTTTAAATCCAGAGTTGTGTCAGCCATGTTGTTCTTTCTAAAGATTAATTAATACTGTTTCTTATTTTATTGGCCATTCTAGTTTCTTTAAGTAAAGAACATAATATTTAGAAATTACATGGGTAAAGAAGAGACTAAAATAAGTGCTAAAAGCCAAGTGAAATTTTGTCTATCAAGATGCAGGGAAATCAATAAGTGGTGATTAACATCAGGAAATATAAACAGGTAATATGGAACTTTCTGTGGTTACTGATGCTATTCCTCTATCCCTTATTACACGAAATTGCCCTTGAGTGTCCATTTATTGTTGGCATAGCAAACATGTTTCTTTTGCTTAAAAAAAAACAGGTTCAAAGTTATCTTCAAATTTAGTGAGTTTTTACTGAACTTACACATTGTTATTCCCATGAACAATGTCAAGAAAAATTAAAGAGCAGTAGGGGGCTTTGGTCATGTATATTGATTTTTATCTGCTTTATTTCTCTAGGTTTCATATAAATTGAAAAATGTTTCCTGAATGTACCCTCAAAATTGCTTAGCAAAAACATGTGACAGTAGAAAATAGTGAAATGATGAAGAGAGCATTTATAATTCTTCATTCACGCATTCAGCTATCAGTGTTTGAGTTTCAGACACTGGCTTTGTTTAAGAATGAGAAATGTGGGCTTCCCTGGTGGTGCAGTGGTTGAGAGTCCGCCTGACGATGCAGGGCACAAGGGGTCGTGCCCCGGTCCGGGAAGATCCCACATGCCGCGGAGCGGCTGGGCCCGTGAGCCATGGCCGCTGAGCCTGCGCGTCCGGAGCCTGTACTCCGCAAGGGAGAGGCCACAACAGTGAGAGGCCTGCGGTATAGAAACATCAACTAATGTCATGTGCCAGCCAGATACTGTTCTAAGCCCTTTACATAGCAACTTCTTTAAGGAGTTACTTAAAGAATTGGATTAAATGATTCCAACAACCCTACAGAGTAAGGATTGTTAGTATCCCCATTTTACAGATGAAGAAACTGAAGTACAGAATGATTAAATATGAAGCCCAGATCACACAACGAGTAAAGCCATGGATCTTTGGTTTGAACTTCCCCTCCTCACTTTACACTATAATGTCATTATCCTCTGGGGATCTATTCTCTTTCTTTGTGTGTTTTTTAAAATAAATAATACTTTATTTTTAATTCATTTTTTTGTTGTGGTATAGTTGATTACAATAGTATATTAGTTTCAGGTGTGCAAGATAGTACATTTTTATAGATTATATTCCATTTAAAGTTATTATCAAATATTGGGTATACTCCCTGTGTTGTACAATATATTCCTGTAGCTTATTTATTTTATACAGAGTAGTTTGTACCTTTTAAACCTCCACCCCCATCTTGCCACTCCCTACTTCACCCTCTCTAGGAATCTATTTTCCAACGAGGGAGAAGAACACTAATAAGACAATTAGAATAGCACTGATGCTAGGTAGAGGTTAGGTAGGATACGGGGGGAGGTCCTACATCCCAGGAAGGTTGTAGGAGAGAGAGAGAAACAAAGGAAAGTTCTGAAGAAGCAGCAACTTATCAGCATCTCTGAGAATGAGAAAAGCTAGCTGGGCACAGAGTTGATGAATGGGGGCTTCAGTAGGTGGGCACCTTTGTGCAGAGGCTCAAAGCCCGAGACTGTGCTAGATACAGGGAGATGGAGGGGTGTCAGTATGTCTGTGCCACTGGGGGTGGACGTGGCAGAGCCTGGAGATGCGGCTGGTCATGCAGGGCCTTGAGTGGATGGAAAAGCAAATGAAAAAAATTGAGTGAGGGAGGTACTGGCAGCAAAGAAGATAAGAGGATGTGGAGTTGGGGGCAAGACTGAGGCAAGAAGGCCATGTCCTTTGGTAAAAGTATCTCCATGTTTGAATGTCTGTTAATGGACAAATGTAGCTGTTGTGCAGTTGGTAATGGTCAAGGAACTGTGTTTGATGAGAAGAGGTCAGAGTGATTTAAACAGGCCCCCAACTCTACAGTGCTTTTGACGGCAGCTGTGCCCAACACAGCTGTGGTGGCCACGTCTGAGACGTATTTTCAGCCATGAACAGAGCACTATTCTACCCAGTTGCAACACAGGAAGGCACATGAGGCTCAACTCCTATTAATTCTTTGGCCATTCATTACTACAGTGACCTTAAAGTTCCCACTGGGCATTCAAGTACAACGTCATGTGTAACTCTGTTGGAATTCCATTGTAATTCAGCGCATAAGGACCAGGAAAAACTTTTACCCCAACTTTTGGCAGCTAACAAATAAATAGACTTACATAAAGCTCTCAGAGCAAGGCTTCCCTGCTACTGACAGCAAAGACCCTGATGATTTTGCATTTACATGGAATGAACGGTATTTTCTTTTCTCTACATTCTCTAATTACCTTCTTTCATTGTATACAGGTTTCAAATGTCTGCATGCATCAGGCTAACATTAGCTTAACATGTGACATTTATATTATCCCAGGCAGCAGACAGGGTCGGTCAGAATACTGAGGTATCTTGTATGTCCTGTTATGATAGAGTGGTGGCTCCAACACTTGTGTCCTTGAGTGGTGAGGGAAATCTCCACAGAGGAGGTAATGAAATTAAGGTAGACCTAGGACAAGGGGAGTCACCCCTGCAAATGTTCCAGAGTAAGGCTTAGAAGGCACACTCCTAGGAAGAAGAACTTCTTTGAAGTAATATTATGAAATATTAAGCAACAAAGATGAGAAAGCAGGATAAGTGAAGTTTGAATGATGGTGAGCACGTGGGGAATGATAGATTGATGGATCTTGTATTTTATCTAAAGTTACATGTTTAAGGGACAGAGAATGAAGGCAGAAAGACCAAGGTGAGGACAGGAGGCCAGTTGTGAGGAGAGAGTTCACAAACTGAGGTGAAAACCATGCATGTATGAAGGAAAGCACCATGTGGGTAAATCACGAAAGAATGGTCTACAGGATTTTATGACCCTCGTTTCTGTTTCCATGGGTAGAAGAGTCAGAGGACTTCATTTTTCCATGCCTAGGAAATGAGGAAAATAATGACTTCGTTGACACAAAGGTCAACTAGTGGGGCACCCAGTTGGGAGAGGAACTCTAGGATGGAGTTTTAACCACCTTACTGGATGTGATCACAGTAATTTCTGGTTTTTGTTTTGAAATTTTGTCAAAGACATTCTTAGGATGTGTTAGTGAACCTAAAGAGTTGAATGAATGAATGGGGATTCCTTGGATTTTTTCATTCATTGAAATTTGAGTTAGGGATTCCCTATTTAGAATTTAGGGAACTGCCAAGTCAGGAAGTCTGGGGATTTCTATGAAAATATTTAACAAATGGTTTAATTTTGAGACAGAAAGCTTTGATTTATGAGAGTTCTTCAATCTTGGGCATTCTATGAAAGACAAGATACTCCATGGTAACTGGAGTTATGGTCTAGTAAGTTTTTGAGTGTTAGTGCCAGTATCTTTGAACTAAGTCCTCAGTCTTACAAGCAGGAATATTCAGTGGATTAAATGAGTAAAATATGCCATCTTACATTTTCTGAAATGTCTACTATACAGACAGTGAGTGTAGGCTCTTGAGCCAACTCTCTGGATTCAGATCCCAGTTCTGCCACTTATACTGGAGTAAGTGATTGGGGCTAATTATTACCTTCTCTGACTCAAGTTCTCATCTGTAGAATGGGCATAATAATAATTCCTACTTCATAACATTCCTGGATGAATTAGTGCCTATAAAGAGTTTAAACCAGCGGATGGCCTTTAGTAATCACATAAAAATATTAACTATTATGAGTATTATTTTTGGTAAATTGCTTTGATCTTCTTCCTCTGTGTCTTAAATTTTTAAAAAACTGTGAAA